ATTGCGAATTCCCAACAATTGGGTCTTTAGTAATGTGACACCAAACTCTACAAATATCATTAATGCAAAATGATTTTCCTCTCTTTATTTTTGAGGAACCTTCCATAGTAATTGCGTGAAAACTAAAAAAGAAAAATATAATTTAAGATGTTTTCCTGTGAACTCAAATTGAATTAAGGTGCTGTATTTATACCATTACAAAAACAACTGTTGGTGTCTTGTCTGTTTGGAAAAATAGACATTTTATTTTTTTTCTAGATTAAAATAGAGCCATTGGGCTCATGTTTAGCATTCCAAAATAGGTTGCTTACCGTTGGATCTTTGCATAATCCAACGACTGAGATAAACACTCTAGAATCATCATCCAAACTCTCTCTTTCTCATATCCATCAGAATTCAGTCGCCTCTCTTTGTTTCTTTTTTTCTTTCTTCATCCCTTAAACCTTTTTCTCACTCTTTGCTATCCTCATCTCCGATCGTCTCTCTCTCTCTCTCTCTCTCTCTCTCTCCATCTTGACTCCAAAATGTTCGGATCAATGAAGATCAGAGAGAGAGAGAGAGAGAGATCAATGAGCCTCGGTGAAGATTAGTCGATCACAACGGTCTTATCCACCCCCTTTTCGGATCACAGATCACGAACTTCAACTCCATCTTCTCCATCGAACAAAAAATTCGAAACCCACTATGAGAAACTGAAATCCTAAACCTTTATCTTCGATTTGTTTGTGAGAAACTGTAAACCTTTATCTTTGATTTGTTTGTAAGAAACCGAAACCCTTGAAATCACTTCAATAAGAATATGAAAAAGAAGGAGATGAAACCCTTGAAACCAAAACTCATCCAAATCGGCTTTATGAAGAAGATGAAAACGAATAAGATGAAACTGAAGCTTCAGAATACCTCAATCATCTACAATCCATCAAGTCTCTTTAAATCAAGGTGTTTATTGTTTAAAATTTGCTTCAAATTATTGATTATTGCTTGGATTGCTTGAGATTTGTTGAGATTACGTAAAATTTGTTTGAGATTGCTTCAAATTTATTTGAGATTGCTTGAATATTGTTGTTTTAGTCAAATTCTGTTTTTAAAAATTTGTTGATTTTTTTTTTTTCAAATGTCAATTGTCAAATCTGTTTAAACAAATTGGTGAGTTTTGTTTAAAAAAAAATTCATGAATTTTGCAATATGAAAAAATTGATTTTTTTTTTGGTGGAGTTTTTTCTAGAAAATGATGAGAAAGGAAGGGAGGGAATGAAGTAGGGATGGCAATTTGAGCCCGGCCCGACGGGGACCCAACCCCGTCCCCGATTAGAATAGTTTTTCCTCGAAAAATACTTTCCACGGGCCGGGGATGGTATTCGAAAATGCATCCCCGATCAATTTCGGGCCGGGGACAGGGATAATTCTCACAGCCCCAAACCCGACCCGGCCCGTCCCCGAACCCGCCTCGTCCCCAGCCCCGCTCAATTTACCCCCGAAGTAAAATTACTTTTATACCCCTTATCCTTTCATATATATATATATACCTACATACCCCTCTCAGTTTTGGATCACTCTCAGATTTAGAGATCACTCTTAGATTAGGATTACTCTCTCTCTCTCTCTCTTTCTCAGACCTCTGTCACTTTATCCCTCTCTCTCACATTCGAAACCCTAACCTCTCAAACCCACTTCGATCAAAGCAAATAATCGTCGATCGAAGCAAATAATCAATCGCAGAGACGACGCAGACGAGAGTCGAACGCAGAGACGACGATGCAGAGAGTCGATCATCGCAGCTCCTCTCCCCCTGCCTCTCTCACCTGCTGCTCCACCACCGCCTTAGCTATTCCACCATCGCAGCTCCTCTTTCCTTCTTCTCTTTCTCGCCATTTCTATCTACTCTCTATCTTTATTTTTTTAATCTGTTTTGTTGTTGTTGTTGTTGTTATTGAATGTTATTGAATCTGTCAGATCTGTTGTTGCTATTTTTTATTTATTGTTTTGAATCTTTTGGTGTTGTTGTTGAATCTGTTGGTGGTGTTGTTAAATCGCATATTTGTTGTTGTTGAATTTTTTTTTTCACCGGGAAATTTTCGGGGTCGGGGAAACCCGATCCCCGTTAGGGGACGGGGGCGGGGGCAGCGATAGGTTCCTCATTGGGGATTGGGGTCGGGGATGGGAAAATTTCCACCTTCGGGGATCGAAGACAGGAAGTGTGATCCCCGGCCCCGCCCGCCCCGTTGCCATTCCTAGAATGAAGGAAATCAATTGGTTTGGGGTGAGTTAGTAGATTTGGCATGTGCCAAAGTTTGTGTCAATCTTGGCACATGCTTTGGTATTTGTCAATTTTGATAGCTGTTATATCTCACTATTGGAGAATCCATTTTTACTCAAAGCTGCTATATTATAGCTTATTGGAGCTGCTCTTATACATATACAGATATATAAAATTTTAAATATTCTCACTCATAAATTATAAAGACTACTATAGTGGTATTTCTCTTACATTATATAAATTATTTGTTTTGAAAAAAAAAATGAAATTCATTTACAATTCGAGCAACTCGGACAATTCAGGTTTAACTCAAGTCGGTCTTAGACAAACAACCTCGGGTTACAATTCGGACCTAGGCAGGTCTCAATACAACTTGGACTGGATTTGAATAACCTCCCAATCCGACCGAACCCGTCCGAATTGCACCCCTAACATTTATGACATAGTTGTTGCATTTGCAATATTACAATTTATTGTACCGAACAATTGCTCAATTAATACAAAGACATGGACCAATACAAATCCCTCTCTCTCCGTACATCATGTGGAAGTTTCCTGTTCTTATGTTTGACAGGATGAGACATTTGACAAGGTAATGCTACTGAACATACACAAGCCACTTGCAACATGTTTATTTTGTCTGTGGGGATTTATGAATATCAATCATGATTAGAAGAAAGAAAAATAAAAATTTGTAATTGAATGAAATGTTTTCTATGTATAACTGATTTGTAACTTTGTTCTTATAACCCATGGCCCATTCATTAATTAGGAGGGATAAAGGTAATCCTAGTCTTTTCTACATTAACTCTAACTTTTTCTCTTGTATGCCTTTAATCCTTTAATGTATTTAAAATTATAAAATTATGTCTTAAAATTTTATATCTCAAGATTTAACAATAGTTTATAATTAAACTTGTATTAAGATAGAGAACAAAAATATTTATAAATATCACAATCAATTGTTTTCTGAGAATAATTTTTAGGTGGCTTGTGACCTAGTAAACAATGTACATGTCATTAGGGTTTGAAAATCAGGTGCCAAGTTTTGAGTCTTTGTTGTTGACTTATTTATTGTAATTATAAAATGTTACATTAAGTGAATAACACTTCTGCAAACTCGACGAAAAAAAAAACAATAAATTGTTCAAAATTTGTATTTAAAGGTCAAGATTTAATTATGATATGATCCCACAATAAGAAGTTTAATATGTATCATTAATATAAAATTTTAGATAAATTTTTTATTAATATTATGAGTGTCTAGGCTTTCTGTTAATTAAATGGACAACTATATTATATATATATATTGAGAGGGGGATTTCATAATCTCGGCTTGGATCGCGGTTTTGGCCGGGCTGAAAGTGGTCCCAGCGTATTTGGGCCGAGCTGGGCTAGGCCGTGCCGAGAGAAAGCTTGCTCGGCCGAAGTCCAGACCAGAGTTGGCCGAGATGATCATCTGCTAGCTTGGTTTCTCTTGTTCGCTCATTTTAGCTCGGTGATCGTGATCTGCCACAGATCGGCCAAACTTGGCTGGAGCACAATCGCACCGGAGTGCTGCTTAGCTCGCTTGTGATGGAGCTCAGCGAGGGGCATTGTTGGATTCGTTAGGCAGCACGGTCGAAGGAGGCTGGGATGGTGCTGTCGGGCTGCCCGTTCCCGCTAACGCTGTTTGGGGGTTTGATTAGGTGGTGTTTAACTAAATTTGCGCTGACAGGTAAGAGAGCAGCTCTACGTGTCAATAGGCGAATGGACGCAGAGGTAAGGGCAGAAAGTATATAAACGGGACTGCAACCCCCATGCGGGGGATAGAACATCAATTGGTGAGAGAAACTTAAACATTGATTGAGCTCCTCTATCTCTCTCTCTCTCAGAGTGTGTGCTAACTTGACCGTCAGAGGGGTTTTCCGGCAACATACCGCCGGGTAGCTCACCGCTGTTGTGTTTTCAGGTTGATCGGATAGACACGGAGCTTGGACGCGAGGAGTACGGACAGCGACGAATATCTCCTTCACGTACAATTGGTGCCGTCTGTAGGAAGGACTTGCAGACACAACCTTGTCCTCCAAGCTTATCGGATCGCTTTCCATGGCAAACAACGACGAAATACCGTTGTCTGCCATTGACGGTGTTACCCCGGAGTCAGCCAGATGGAGAGACGGACTCCCCGCCGTTCCAAACATGGCGGACCTAGAGACTTTCCCAGGAGGACTTCCAAGAGATGCACCAGATAAGCGGCCATAAGCTTTGGTCACTCACGAAGCCCAGACGAACACCGGTAGCGAAGAGATTCGCATGCTTGACGCCTAGAGACAAGTTAAGGGACCAAGACGCCATCATCCAGAGAATGGCGGCAGAGATAGAAGCTCTCAAACGGCAGGTCAAAGAGAAGGGTGTTGCTGGAGTGAGAAACCACAGTGAGTGCACCCAACCCCGCCGCTCAGGCAGCCAGAGCCAGCGGCACACCCCTTTTTTTTCAATCACCAGAAGCTATAGGATTGGAGACTCAGGTACGCCTGTAGAAAAGTCTAGCACGCAGGATAGTACCCACCATCCCTTACGTCCGTCGACAAGGTCGAGATATTCCTACTCCGTTCGTTCGGAGGACTTGAGGGACGTCTTAAGGGACATCTTGAAGGAGTGAGCACGCTGATGAGAGGCTCAAAGGGTGCCGGCGCTCTAGCGGTTATCCTACAGAGGCCACCATAGTGAGGAAGTTATGATGCTACCACCCCGTTCGGCCATGCCAGTCCCTTTGGACACAGATTTGGCGAGGCTAAACGTCTCCCCCTTCTCCCTTGAGATAGAAACCACATCGCTCCCAGCAGGTTTTCACCAGCCTAAGTTTACGTTTTATGACGGGAAAAGCGATCCATACATGCTTGTGAGCCACTTCCGCCAGGTCATGGCAGGGCACAGGCGTAACGATGCTCTCATGTGCCTAATTTTCCCATCGAGTTTGGGCGAGTTGAACTTGAAATGGTTTGAGAGGCTCCCGGAGCAGAGCATCGAAAGATGGCAGCAATTGGCGGAAGTATTCGTGACTCAATTCAAAACCAACACCAAAACGCCAAAAGAAGTGGACCACCTCCTGAGCATCAAGATGGAGTCAAGCGACATCCTCAAAGCATACAACGCTAGGTATTGGGAGACCTTCAACGAGATCTTGGATTGCCCAACCAACCTGGAAATCACCCAATATAAGCACAGTCTCCCGGTCGGACATAGACTGAGGAAATCGCTTACAATGAACCAGCCGACTTCCATGGGGCAATTGATGCAACGAATCAATGAACACATCTGAGTAGAGGATGATGCGGTGGCATCCACCGTGAAGGCAAATCCGGTGGCAACGGACAAAAGGGCGGCTGGGAAAGTGCATGCAGTCGGCCAGAAGACAAACCGTCCGAATGACCACGCAAGAGAGTCGGACCATGGCTCTGATCGTAGGAATCGGGATAAAGGTCACCACAGTGACTAAACAGAATACCCCCGCGATGACACAGTAGATGCGAACAGAAAGTTGAATGCTCGAACGGGCATCACCACGGTATTTAAGATTCCGATTTACCGCATACTTAGTGAAATCCGTGACGAGGATTACGTCCGGTTTCCCACCAAGTTAGGCGATACGCAAAAGGGTTTCAATCCGCGGTACCGCTGTACATTCCATAGAGAGCGAAGGCATCGGACAGAGGACTATTTGCCTCTAAAGTAACACTTGGAGGAGCTGGTCGCTGCTGGTCACTTAGACCTTTACATCGATGGGGGCATTAGAGCCGAGCACAACATCCCGGCTGATCCGAGTGGTTCGGATGACCTAGAGGCGCCCCCTCAAGGAGTAGTCAATGTGATTCACGGCATTGTGGAGCTGGCGCGGGTATGCGAGCTCCGAGGGATGATTAAAAAAGTGAAACATATGAGGAAAGTTTTATCAGCCCAGCTCGCGTTCAAAAAGGGCAAGACCGAGGAGAAATATGTGATTAGCTTCTCAACTAGGGACCTTGAGCACATTCAAACGCCACACAATGACACCCTAGTAGTCACCCTTCATGTCAGGGACTTCGATGTCAAGCGCATCTTGATCGACCAAGGTAGCTCGGTCGAGATCATATACTATGACGCCTTCAAGCAGTTCAAACTGCGAGATACAGACTTGGCTCCGACAACTTCGCCACTAGTTGGTTTCAACTCACAACCGGAGTGGCCTATGGGAAAGATAATCTTACCAGTCAAAACCGGATCCGTGGTCAAGCAGGTGGAGTTCTAGGTATTGAAGGTGCCGTCCACATACAATCTGATCTTAGGTAGGGGATGGCTTCACGCTATGCAGGCGGTCGCGTCAACTTACCACCAGATTATGAGGTTCCCATCGGCTATGGGAGAAGTTGAGAAAAGTTTGGGCGATCAAGTCATGTTGAAGCAATGTTTGGTGGAAGTGAATGGGATCCGAGCTGCCAAAGGCTTTGTGCAAATGATTGAAGGTCCGGAAGACCAAAGTGTCATTGATGACGTGGGCACCAGGGCTGAGGAAAAGACTGTTGAAGAGTTGGTAGAAGTGCAGATCGACATCGAAAGTCCAAACAAGTTCTTTTTGCTCAGGTCAAGCCTGATCGCCCAAGAAAGAACCAAGATGGTAGAGTTCTTGATGGCAAATATCGAAGTCTTCGCATAGACGTCGTATGACATGCCTGGCATTGATCCAAGCTTTATTTGCCACCAACTCAATGTTTTCCCGGATGCACGTCCTGTCATTCAGAGAACGAGGAGATCGGCTCTTCATCACGTTGAGGTAGTCGCGGAGGAAGTGAGGAACCTGCTAGAAGCAAGGGCTATCCAAGAAGTGCACTACCTTTGGTGGGTTTCGAACACGGTCATAGTGCCCAAGAAGAATGGGAAGTGGTGAGTGTGCGTTGATTACAAGACTATCAACCGAGCTTGCCCTAAAGACAGCTTTCCTCTACCCAGAATAGACCAGCTATTGGATCTTACGGCCAGGCATAACAGGCTCAATTTCCTGGACGCCTATCGCGGTTATCACCAGATCGCCATGCATGTTCCCGACCACGAGGTAACCTTTTTCACTACCCCAAGGGGACTGTTCTGTTATCGAGTCATGCCTTTTGATTTGAAGAATGTCGGGGCGACTTTCCAAAGGATGGTGACTTAAATGTTCGCTCCTCTACTGGGCCGGACAATGGAGGCTTACATCGACGACATGGTGGTCAAAAGCAGGCGGTAGGCCAACCACTTATCTGACCTGGCCGAGATGTTCGCTATTCTAAAAAAACATAAGCTTTGCCTGAATGCGTCAAAATGTGCCTTCGGCGTGGGATCTGGGAAATTCCTGGGCTTCCTAGTCACAAACCCAGGCATCGAAATGGACCCATCACAAATCAAAGCCATACAAGAATTGAAGCAGCCCAACTCGGCAAACGACGTGCAGCATCTCGCCGGTATGGCAGCCGCGCTTAACCGATTCATAAGCCGATCATCAGATCGTTGCCGCCCTTTCTTTAAAGCTTTGAAGTCTAAGTTTTCGTGGGACGAGGAATATGATATGGCTTTGGCCGAGCTCAAGACATATTTTTCTTCCGCCCCACTATTGGTGACACCCAAGCTCAGTGAAGAACTCTACCTTTATCTAGCAGTTTCTCAACATGCCGTTGTGCGGCGCTTGTCAAGTCAAAAGACATCCAGTATCTCCCTATCTTTTATGTGAGCAAAACTTGCTACCAGCAGAGTTGGGGTATTTGCCGCTGGAAAAGCTTGCTTCGGCACTGATGATGGCCTCCCAGAAATTGGCACACTACTTTCATGCTCACACAATCGTCGTGTTGACCAAATTCCCTCTGAAAGCCTTGTTTGAGTGGGCGGATTTCTCCGGTCGAATTCTGAAGTGCGGCAGTCGAATTGGGGCAATTCGACGTCAAGTTTCAACCCCGAACTGCCATCAAAGTCTAAGCCTTGGCAGACTTCGTCACTGAGTTCTCGCCTGGAACTCACCAGGTATGCCTGGTGGATCTTACCGCGGCAGCCGAGGTGGCGAACGAAGGCTCAATGGAAATAGCACAACCAAGTGATATTGGCGACGCGGAACTTTCGCGGCCGTCCATAGAACCTTCAGTCGGAATTGTACTCTAGCTTGGCAATGCGAAGATGGACTTGGGAATAACCGACCAACCGGTTGGGTCTGGAGCTGCAACGCCAAGGAGGGATGAAAACGTGTCTGTTGAAACCGTCAACGGCGTGTTTGCGGCAGACGTAGCCGAGCAGCCAAGCGACCATGATACCATCAACCTTAAAGCCTCCCAGGACCCCTCAGAATGTTGGAAACTTTTCTTGGGAGAAATGTGGAAACTTTTTGTGGATGGCGCCTCTAACTGGCACGACGCCGGGCTAGGCATAGTTTTGGTCTCGCCAGATGGTTTAACCATCGAACACTCTATCACACTCGAATTTCCAACGTCAAATAACGAGGCCGAATACGAAGCACTGTTGGCCGGGCTTAGAAGCGCGCTCCAATTGCACGCATCCGAGATGATGGTTTACAGCGACTCCCAGCTCGTTATAAACCAAGTATTCGGAGTCTACGAAGCCAAAGACGACAGAATGGCCAAGTACCAAGCTCTAGTGAGAAAACACATCAAGGAATTCCAGGCAATCAGGGTTCAACAAATTGGTCACGAAGAAAACGGCCGAGCAGATGAACTGGCCGGACTAGCCTCCATGTTCGATAGTTCAACACTCAGACCTCTCTTGATCAAGTTTCTTCCAAGGCCTACTATTGAGGACTCCGTGCAGACGGAAATACTCTGCACCGAGCTTGGCCCCTCTTGGATGGACTCTATCATCATTTTCCTAAAAGAACGAATTCTTCCGGCCAACAAGAAGGAAGCACATAAAGTCCGGGTGAAATCAGAGCGGTTTTGGCTCTCTCTATCTGGTGCTTTATACAATAAGTCATTCGCGGGTCCGTACCTCAAGTGTGTACATCCAAACAACATGGAGCTTTCCTGTACGAGATTCATGAAGGCATATGCGGAAATCACATCGCAGGGAGATTTTTGGCCTACCGAGCTATCTCTCAAGGATATTGGTGGCCATGCATGCAAGAGGATGCTCAGAAATATGTTAGAAAATGTGAAAAGTGCCAGAAGTTCACCCACCAAATTCACCAGTCGGCCAGAAAACTTCTTTCCCTCACAAGCCCTTGGTTTTTTGCGATGTGGGGGCTGGACATAGTAGAACCACTCCTAACGGCACCAGGCAACCAGAAGTTCTGCACTGCGGCTACGGATTACTTCACCAAATGGGTTAAAACTGAGCCCTTAGCGACTATCAAAGAGAAAGATGTCAAACGGTTTATCTGGCAGAATGTGATGACGCGGTTTATCGTCCCCAAGATTTTGATTTTTGATAATGGCACCCAATTTAACGGGCGCATATTCAGAGAATTTTGTAAGGAATTGAAGATAGAATTCTACAACTCCACTCCGATTACCCGCAGTCTAACGGCCAAGTTGAAGCATCAAACAAGACCATTCTCGATGGGTTGAAGAAAATACTAGAAAAAGCCAAAGGAAAATGGGTCGAGGAACTCCCAAGTGTCCTTTGGGCATATCGGACGACCTCGAGGGGATCCACCGGGGAAACTCCTTTTGCCCTGGCATATGACATGGAAGCGGTCATCCTATTGAAAATCGGCATGCCCACCATCTGCAGTGAGAATTTTGAGCCTGAGTTGAGCTTTGAAGCAGTCGCCCTGTAATTGGACCTAGCTGACGAGCGCCGAGAAAAAGCTTTAATCCACGTGGCCGCATACCAACAAGAATTGTCCAGGAAATACAACAAAATAGTGCACCCCAGACCGTTTAAAGTGGGGGACTGGGTTTTAAGGAAGGTCATGGGCAACACACTAGTGCCGGGCGAAGGCAAGCTAGGGGCAAACAGGGCGGGCAAGGGGGCATACCACTTAGAAGACTTGGATAGCAAAGGCGTACCCCGGCCATGGAATGCGGCTAACCTCAAACTGTACTATTTTTAGTATTCGTCGTTTTTATGTAATTTTTTGTGGAAGAACTTGTTTTCCCTGCACTTCTGAATGTAATACTCTTTTTTTCCAAAGTAATGGAAGTTAATTATCTTTGCTGAAGAGGTTTGTTGTGTTCATAGTAATGTAATGACTGAGGGGCATACTCTTGTGTTTTAGCCGAGATGCTTTACCCCGGCTAAAGGAGTTGGTGATTTTCCTAACTCAAAGGTCTTAGCCGAGATGCTTTACCGCGACTAAAAAATTTGGTG